TCCCCCTCCCCCTCCCCCTCCCCTGCCATACGTTATGAACGCAGCCCTAGTCCTATGCCTCCTCTATAAAAACAATGACCAGCAATTAAAACAACAGTGTTTGGATACCTAAAAAGCTAGATAATGAAAACATTCCAACAACTATCCTTCGTAGTTTTTCAGAATTATATTTGACAGGGTTTTTCTCATGCTCCTGAAGACTTTTGCATGTTGTTTCAGGGAAAGACTACAAAGATTTTTTGCATGTTGTTTCAGGACTAAAGTACGAACGAGTGGTAGAACAAATGAACACTTCACTGGAAAGACTACAAAGAACCAATGTTGACTTCTTCTACTTACATGCACCTGACCACAAAACACCTGTAGAAGAGTCCCTGAAGGCTGTAGATGATCTTCACAAAGGTACTATGCACAAACATAATGGCGGTTACCTCTGCGACCTTATCCTAAAAAAAGGCAATTGTTCGCCAAAATTAAAAGAAATTTCGCAGTATTTTAGACTAAGAACACACGTCTTTAACATTCAGGCTCCAGATTAACTGAATTTGCAACGATAAGTACCTTATTTTTTCGATTTTCTAAGGGTTTTTGATCATAAATTATAAAATAATTGGGATACTACGCGCACTATGATTGGTCGAAAACCCTGTTTGATGAGAGTATCAAAACACGCAATCGTCATTTTTAATCTATCGCGCGCGCTCATTGGTCAGTTTGAATAAGACGGCACGTAGGGAGAATTTACTTAGACTTTGCTTTTTTTCGATCTTTTCGCGCGTTTGTTATATTATGAAACAAATCAAAAACAGTTTTCTGTGTTTGATACTCTGATCAAAACACTTGGGATGTTGCTACGCGTCGTGGTTTCCTACGCTCCTCTCGTGTTCTCCCAACATCCCGCGTGTCCTTTGAAACACAGTAGGTAGTACACACGCGGCAAACTCGACATCTGTGACGTATTTCCGGGTCCAAAAAACACAGGGTGACCAACTTGCTAATTTCAAAATTGTTCCAACCTTGAAAAAGTCCCGGAAAAACTAGTGTTAGACTTTTACGTCCATTGTTTTTTACGATTTTTTTACTACTTTGATTGCAGATGATCTAGGATAGAAATGTTTTAATTTTTAACAGCTGGCATTCGTTTATTTCAGCGGGTAAATTCAAGGAATTTGGGTTATCCAACTATGCTTCCTGGCAAGTGGTGGGTAGTTCTCTGCAGCTGTAGATAAAAATACAGCTATTTCTACTTATACTTCAACTTCGTGCAATTATTCAGATACATCCTAAGGCTTCAACAAATGATTGTTAAAGTTTGATAGAGGGCCATGAGATGTATCTGCATATGACTAGTAGAATCAGGCTACTTGCTCGTGTTTTTGTTGCGATTCCAGAGGGATGGGTTTCCTGTGGGGCAGGAAGAAAGGGCAGGAAGCCCAGTATGGAAAAAGGGAGAGACAAGAGCAAAGAGACGCCTGCGGAGGAAGCTAGAAGGGTCTCTATTTCATAGACCTTTCCTGAAGACAGCGAACATGGTGTCTGGTCTAGCTTCGCGATCGGCACAATCATCATGCCTTATATGGTGTTGTTGGTACCGAAGCTAGACCACAATGCATCCTGTTTATCGCACTCAAGAAAGGCCTATGGCCCACATGATTCGTTTCAAACAACTAAAAGTTTAATTTTTCACGTAAAGGACAAGTGCGCACGCGAGCACGTTTTAACAATCAGTCTTTGCGCGCTTCGTTTCTCTGAATATGTTATTCAAAGAGAGCTAGTGTAACAAACCTTAGGATGAAAAATTACGATGTGCTACTTACCATTTCCAGGCAGAAGTCTACTATTTGTGTAAACAAAATAACTACGTGTTACCAACCCTTTACCAAGGCATGTACAATCCATTTACCAGGTAATTACCCAAGATCTTCTAATATGAATAGACCTCCTCGGCTCGAGCGTAAGTTTTCCCATTTCAGACCACGTGTCATACCTAGAGTATTATTTCTTTATTTAACGGTTGCACATGAATATGGATGCAACAGAAACAAATAATCTTACTCTCAAGGGAATGACGTGGTCTGAAATGGAAAAACATTACGCCCAAGCCGATGAGGGTCTATAAGATCCACCTAATTGTTTTACAATCAGTATTAACTTACTTCTTTTTACTTTTTGGCATGTTTTTCCATTTCATACTACTCCTGTTATTCCTTTAAACATTTTCTCTTTATACATTTTGATCATAGATATATGCTAACACTTTGCGGCGTCATTTCATGGGCCCTTTTACATTTTCATTTATCTAACTTTTTTGGTCTGTTTTCCCCTTTCAGACCATATCATCGTGGAGTAAATTTTTCTCTGATTTTTAAACCCTGTGAAGATACATGAATATAAATGATACTAACAAGAGAATATGAACTAAGAGAAGGAATCCCCGTGCCCCCTCATGTGCACATTTTGATGCTATTTTTAGAAGCTATTCTAAAAATACCATTCAATGATATCCTTTTTTTGATCGTTTGATTTTCTGCACGCGCATAGTACGCGCGCGTTCTACGCTATTCGCTAACGTTTTCTTGTGCTTTTCTTATGTTCAAATGTTCAAATCTGCCCTCAAGATGACGATGTAGGTCGAATGCTTTGGAAAATAAATGTAAAAATATTCCAGAAAGTTGAACAAATTACTGCGTCAATTTCCTGTCGTATTTACAAAGCTTTCGACGTGCACATTCATATTCAGGGCAGAGTCGAAATAACGGAAAAACCCCAAAAACGTAAGCAAACAGCGTAGAGCACGCGCAAAAACAACAATGGTTTAAAAATAGCATCAAACTGTGCACATGATGGTTACAAGGCGATATAGGGGGCATTCCTTCTCTTAGTTCATTTTCTCTTGATACTAATCAATACTAAAGGAAAACCTCAACGACCAAAATATAAGGACATGAACATTTCTAAAGTGAACATTAACCCCGCGCCATGATTCGAATACAGAAAAAAAAGCTCAATACAGATTATGTTCTTTTTAGGGATGTCGAGAAGGAACTGTTCCCGTGTCTGCGCAGACTCGGTATTCGATTTTATGCCTACAATCCTGTAAGTGTTTAGAAATACCTTCCCAAGCTCCTTCTGGTTTTCCATCTTAGCATCAGTTTTTACATCCCACCGGATCGACTGACGTCAGAGATGGATTCAGGAAAGTGAATTGGGGGTTCACCAAGAAAAACTTGCCAAATTAACATTCTGCATGAACGGGTTGACGTTCGAACACAAAGCATTAAATCGAGGCTGCATGGTGGCTTCTATGAAATTTTAACCTCGTAGTCTCGATTTAGTGTTTGGCCAGTGGACCAGAGTGTTTGTGAATGCATGTGGAGTCTGTTATGATATTGCAAGCGTATGATTCAAGCCTAAACGTATGACCACACTCAATGTATTCGCATACTTCTATGCACGGGCTTTTTCCCGCCAAATGAGTGTTTGCATGCCTCATTTGGCAAAAGCAGCCAGCTTCGCATCGAAACGTGTCGGTCTAACTTACAGACCCGTGCATAGTAGTATGCGATTATACATTAAATGTGGTCATAGTTTTGCGCGTTGCGCTGTAAGCACCAGGACAGGAGACGCGACGACGGGGTGCCAGGAGTAATTTGACTCCCGATCGTACGCAACACATCGGAGTCCAATCAAATTTGAATGCGCAAGCGTACATGTAACCATTTGTTGCAACGAGATCTGTTCCTAAGCCTACAAATATATCTAAATTCTCTCCTGCATTAGCTTGCTGGTGGAATCTTGACAGGAATGTACAAATATAACGATCAGTTCCAAAAACAGCCGCAAGGAAGGTTCTTCAACGAAAGTCACTGGGCTCCTATGTAAGTATTTACTCTTAATATATCTTAATATGCTATATATCTTGATATCAGACCTATTTTGATAATTACGCGTCCCGTCACAGCCCAAGAAGTCTGGGTTTCTGGCCTCTCCTTCAATCGAATTTCCAACGGTATTTTTGTTCGACGGAAGCCAAAACCCCAGACGTCTTGTGTTGAGTTGGTCACGAAAGTATGAAAATGGGGGTAGGACAAGGCGCCTTTTGGCCGCAAACTTGCCTAAGCGATCACGCTCTTCTAAGGTGGTGTTACACGAGACGATTTGCAACGACGATTTTTCGCGCAACAATGTTACTCGAAAAATTGTTCTTGTGCAACTTCACATGGCGCGCGATTAAGATTTTTCACGATATTTTGTTGCGTCAACCAACCTGGAAAATATTGCAGGTGTTTTAAGGTTTTTGATTTGTTGCCGCGCGCGCCAACAATGTTGCGCTAAAATTCTTCTCGTGTAACATCACCTTTAGGACCAGGGGTTTGGGAGGGGGTTGACGACAGAGAGATGGAGGTAAACCCTCCAATAAATTAGACTTTGGTAGTATAATCCTAGCGCTTATTGTGGAGCCGATTTAGTATGCTCTCTCTCACCCTTAACGAGCTCTTTATCAAATTGCAAACCGAAATTTAACGCAATGAGAAAGTTAAAAGCCAGAAAGCCTGACATTTTGACTTTCTCATCTACAAGATACCGCAGTCGTTACTGGAAAAAGCCAATGTTTGATAACCTTGATAAAATAAAAAAGAAGCTGGACGAAGTTTACGGTACCAATCGAGTGTCTCTAACAGCCGCTTCCTTAAGATGGATGTCGTACCACTCTCTCATGGACGCTGAACATGGAGGTGAGTGAACGGTTATAAAATCAGTACAATGACAACTTACTTTCAAGACGGCCAAAATTCAAGGGCTTCTGGTTTTGACTTTGGACAATTATGATAACTCACATAACTGATAGGAAACCAAAAACACAGAATATTTGTTCTTTGTCTGGATCTTACACTGAAAGGTCTGATAGACAGCAAAAGTGACATCGACGCGCTCAGATTGATACCATTCTTGAGGTGCAACCACGATTCAAAATCCCTCGAGGTATAAATGACAATGAAACAGCCGCTATGGTGGTTGACCTAACAAGAGGAGCACAACATGCACCCCAAGAACTGTAAAGGGATAATCTAGAATACAATATTGCTGGTCTTCAATCATTCCCAAAAGAATGTAATTACAAAAGACACGGCGGCCATGTTGGATGATATAACAAAAGAGACCAATGACGAATCTTTTGCTATATTCATCCAACATGGCGGCTGTGAAAACCATCAATACTCAACATAGGACCCTAAATATGTATTCACAGATATCATAGTTCTTGGTGGATACCTTCCAAAGCACGTCCTGGAAAATCTTCAAGCTGTGGAAAGTGCACCACTGCACAAAGGTGAGTTAATGAATGGGAATGGCATCGAGAAAGGGAAAAGATATGTTATTTACTATTGTAGATTAATTCCTGCCATACTTAAACCTGCGCGTGTTTGGGAAATAGAGTAGAAAAATAACTTTTCCCAAATTACACTTTTTTTGCCTCCACACTTTGCATCACTGTTTTCGGTTTGGTGACAAAAACGTATTAACCAATGCGTGAGATGTCGTCGGGTGATTGAAGCTAGCGAGCGTTAGTAGGAATCATGACCACGTGATAATATATGCATCATCTTAACTTTTAAGTCTAGTGTATGTCTTAAGTTTTCAATATTTATGGGCAGACTTAGCTAGACCTTTTGTCTTCCCTCCTCGCTTTTCGCTCTGCACACCACTTCCCCTGTCTAAGGCAAGGGATCCTACTTCTTCCCCAGTCTAAGGCCAGGAATTTTTCCTTGTGTACTAACCAGCTTCTTAGGCCCCAAATCACACTCTTACGATAATCTCTATTTTATTCCTATCTAAACTAGAGGTGGTCATGCTGTTTGAAGATGGTTGGAACCAAGTCAAGTCAGAATGCAATAGTTACTTTCGTTAATGTCAATATTTATCTAATTTTAATTATTACCAAGGCAACAGTAAGGCATAATTCTCTTCTGCCTCAATCTACAAGGGGGGAGGGGAAGGGGGAGGGGAATTAAGGGGGGAGGAGAAGGGGGTTTTTCTCTGGCTTTCCAGTTTTCTACACTGGCCAAGAGCTGAGAGTCATTCATATAAAACAATTACTGCAGTTTTCCATATTCTGCGAACTCCAAAGTTGTGCGCTGCACACTGAAATTTGATTTTACGCTAAGGTCAATCAAAAATAATCAGTTATTATTATATAATTACCAATGAAATATCTATTTTTCTCTATTTCGAAAAATTAATATCTTCACACGTGAAAATAACATGTTATTTTCACGTGTGAAAATAACACCATTGCGATGGCTATTCGAAAATACACGAAAAGAATTGCCTGAAAAAGCCAAAACATACTTTCATTGATAATTATATAATAAACAGAATATTACATGGGCGCTTGGAGATACGAAATTSATCTTCTCGTGTTGAAAATCTCTCACTCGTTCGCTGCGCTCACTTGTGAGAGATCTTTTCAACACTCGAAGATAAATTTCGTATCTCCGCGCGCCCATGTAATATCCTCTATGTATCTTTCACATTCTTGACTGGAGGCAGTGAAAACCAATTTCACTACAAGCCTTTGTATTGTTGAGGTTCGCAGAATATTAAAAACCACAGTAAACTCATTGCGTGGGTATTCATACTATAAAGTAATCTGCAATCAATCAATCAATCATTCAATTTATCATTGCAGTAATCAATGCAATTATTAATAAATATATTACCTTAATACCACCTTAGTTCTCGAAGAATTGATGAAAAATACCACGTGATGCTTAAAGTGCCCCTCACCCCTAACTCAATATTTTCAGTATTGATCCTACATGAAGTGAATTGTTGAATAGCAAAATATTCTTATATGATTTGAGTGATGCATCTTGGAGATATCAAGGTTTATAATTCCAATATGTTAATGAGTATGGTCTCATAGGAGGCATTATTAAATATACAAAACTCTTCTGGGGCAGAAAAATATCCTGTGTAGAACATCATTGTCTTACTCAGGATTTATAGAAAGGATATTGCAAATTTGTTTTCTCATAGTAATCAGTRTTTTAGCACTCAAAGCCTCCTATGAGATCACACTCATTAACATATTGGAAGTATAAACCTTGTTATCTCCAGGATGCATCACGCAAATCATATGGATGTCATATTTGCTTTTAGCATCAAATACAGTTAATTCCCAAAAGCATACACAAATTACTAGAAACACTAGAAACTTTATTAACAATTTTGTGCATACTGTACATGTGTAAAATTATACTATTCTATTTATGACTGTCCCACTTTACTCCTGATTGAGAATTAGAAAAATGTTTGACTTTTGCAGGTTAGAAAAAAATGACTTCTAATACATGCATATTAGTGTGAATAATAATGCAACATAGTGCTTTGCATCAATAATATCATTGCATTTAACCAAGATTTAACTGATCTTGTTCAACATGTTCAAGCTAATCATTTTGTGATAAATATACTGGCTTTTAAATAATAAAAACTACAAATTAATCCTTTGATTCTATACTATTTCTATTTCWTATTTTAAAATTCAATTAAATTTAGTTCGAATATATTCAAAAATAGCGCCAAAACGTTTTTTTTTTTTGGGAGGGGGGGGGGAATTGTTTAATTCACACTATCCCCTAGTTCCTCTAATTGCATAGTATAGATTTAC